TAATATTATTCGTCTTTGTGGTTTTACCTATAAGTTTACCTTTAAATTGTTTTTAAATTTTGTTTTTTTTGGAAATAACAAAATTAATTTTTTATTTATTTAAATAAGATAAATATATTTTTTGGAAATCATCTGAGCTGTTGATCTTAAAGCACCTAAAAAAGAATATTTAGAATTACTTGACCAGCCTCCAATAATAATTCCACATACTCCTAAAGAAGAAATTGCCAATGAATATAAAATACCTATATTTAATTCAGTTCAAACCATACCAAATCCTAAACGTATTGTAGTCCAACTTAATAAACTTTAAAAAAACTAAAATAGGTCAAAATAATATTATCCATCACTAGGTAAATTGTTTCTTTTCACAATTTTAGTCCGTCACTAAGTATTACCAGACCTACAACTGGTGTCAGCCTGTTGTTATCAGAATAAGTTAAATTCAGTGAGCCCGCTAGTTCAAATGTTCCGACGAGTATGCGTCGTAGACGTTTTCAATACAATCGACTTGTCCACCGTGGACCGTGGTTTTGACGAACCTGGAGCGTTTTCTAAAATTGCGCGAACAATTCACATTTGCCAAAATCGTGCAACTGCTTGTAGGATTTGCGTCGCTCTCTGCGGAAGTGGGTGTCATGCCCCTAGGCGCCGCATGCACCGCAAGGTCCGCGCGTACGGCGTTCGCGTGACGAATCGTTGCGTTTTCTACGATATGGTCCGTCGCTCCGTTCGACTGACCTATTCAATCTACTTACCAGGGTGCGTAAGCGATTTGTTTTTGTGGCAATTACCAGACTGTCAAATGTGGCTTGATCGTGCGCCTGCTGACATCCAGTCCGAGTCAGGGTCAGAGCTGAAGTCGCTTACCTCGTCGCGAGAGCTTTCGACACTCGCCGAATCGTACAAGTTGGTGTCTCGATTTGTTCTGCGCTCTTCGAGTTCTGCATACAGATCTTCTTAGGATGCTATCGCAAAGCTGAGGGGACGACTATAGCCGTAGCCTCGATTGTCGTTCCATCCAGGTTGGCGTTGTCGATCACCACCCGATTTCCTCGTCGGTCGTCTCGACAATCGCGTCTAAACGCCAGGTGGTTGTCCACTCTTGACTCTTATTGTAGAACACGTTGTCGACCCCCATCGTCACTTCTTTCGTGTTACCGACCATCTCATACTTCTTTCCTGTGAAAGCTCTATTTACGACTAGTGCTTACCCCATCACGCTTTTTCTTTCGTTTGCCAACAATCGGTGACTAATGATTTTCTCGACTCACTATATATGGTCGAGATGTTGTGGGTAGATCAAACCTATCAAGTCGTCATCGTCAAATGTTTGGTATGAACGGCTGAGTCTACTCCATCTTTCGAATACGAAATGTGCGCCGTCCGCGCGAACCCGTTCAGTCGCACACATGTTCAGATTCATCGCACTTCGTCCAGTGATGCCTCTCTGAGGATCAATCTGAATGTGAGCACTAGTAGCTCATAAAGAACTTACTGAGAAAGCTCGAATTCGGCTGTGGCATCCTTTGTATCAGCTTTTGGCTTCCTTGTCCGAGCACAACGAGAATAATTTGAACCAATTGTCCTACGGCTGACAGGTAGCCTTAATCTTGTAAGCAAATCGTTCGATCCATTGCAGCGCAACGTCTGACCGATAAAAAACGTTTTTTCAAACTTGAAAATCTGGACTAGTGGTGCATGCGCTCGCATCTCCATGACTTGACCCCTTTTTCTTACTGCATCGCCGTAGCTCAACCGACTGATGGGGATATCTGACGGTCCGTCTAGTTCTAGGAAGTCGTCGTACGCGTCTTCACTCCCTTCAAAGTATTTGTGATCGGTCGTCCTTCAGCTTTCACCTAAAATTTTCATTGCGAAGTTTCGGTAACTCATGGGGTGCGCTTCGGCATTGCCATGTGCGAACCTATAATGTACGGCGTCCTTCTGTTTTCGAGAAGATCCTACGTTTTAACTTAGGTGTCTCCAGCAGCGGCGTACTTAATCGACCGTATTCGTTATCCTTTTGCATCGTTCGCTCGTTGAGATGTGACGCCCGTGTATTTTATCCTTGATCATCTTGTCTAACCGTGCTCGATGATTCAACGACAATCGCGACGTCATTCCGTCTTTCCTTCCGAACGCTTCCTTCAGCTTGCGCTTTTCAATTCATCAAATTAACTTCCGTCAAGCAATTTTTAAAGTCTGCCAACATCGATTTCGGAGGCCTCGATGTTCACTTCTATTACACTGATTGTAGCAGACAAACGGTTTTGTCGACTAATTCCTCCAACTACACGCTATTGAGTGGTTGTGCCACCTCGTTCTATAACGGCGCCCAAATCGATTGGTAAGCTGCTCTTGAACGGAACACCTGAGACGGCGAATCTTATTCATCCCTTAATCGAGACGTTTTATAGTTTGATTTTCCAAAAGGGTCTCAAAATTTAACGTGGCTCTGAGATCTAGATGGGGTCGCTTACCAGGGGCTACGTCATGACCTCTATCTATTCCGTCGTGCTCGTGTCCACGCGTGCATCAACCCCGCAAAAGTTTCTTCTACGGACCACATATAGCCAACGTTCTTCCGCTGTATCGATGAGTCCAACGCTATCGTTGTCCTCAGCTCTTTTATCCTTCTCACTATTCCGGTAAATGGTTTAAAAACGTCGAACTGGAAGACTCGATCCAACCGATCTCTCTTCAGGGTGATGTTTAAATTCGCCGAGTTCTGCTTAGCATGCGGCATTCATTTCGCTGCTGTCGGGGCCGAGACGCTCGCGTCTCTAAATTCGCTTACATACTGCTCCTTGGTTGCTCGGTACCTGCTAAAACAATTGAACACACCAATTTCCCGGGTTGCGGCAATAGTGGTGGTGCTGTGTTTAGTTTAATCTGCGATATTACAGTCTTATTCTAGCAACACAACAGTTTTAAAGTAGCACGGAGCAGATGGGCTAGTAAAGTCGTAATGAAACCCTTCGGGTTCAGTTTTGACTTTCGACCTCACTGAGTTTTCACACTCACTTCCAGGAGCTTGCCTAAGCTTATCAGCCTCCGCACTTAAATCCTGTGATTTTTAACTGATAGGTGGATGTCGGCGTTTTCAACTGTTTACAGATCACCGGGCGCAGTGTACGCCCAACCAAACGACTTACAGTGTCCTTGGCTTAAGATCCACCAGATGTCGCTCAACGGTTCTTATTCCGGTTCTGTAACGGGGCACCCTGAAGCTTGTCCTGGTGACATTACAAGCTACTTATTCTGATGACAGAATAAGGCGGTGCCTCGTAACTTCACGTACACTCGTACGTGCAGAGGAAGACGGTAAGAAGAAGCGAGTACTTGGTTAAAGTAAAAAACAGAACTGTATTTATAATAGTTAACGTCTGCAATAAATCACTATTTATCTTCATCTAACTATGTCTAAATACAAATGTGTAAATCAGTTATCTGCTCACCACTCATTGCGTGCGTCTGTCGTGGCGCGTCTTCGTTGGTTGATATAATGGCCTATATCAACCAATTAGGAACTACTCGTAAGTGCTACAGAATATTTGTCCTTATGACAATATTCTGAGAACATAACTCTTATAGTTATATTCTATTAACAATTTCTTATAAACTGTTATGTAACGACTCACCCCGTTACATCACCCGCCCCTTAACCATCAGTCACTTTAGTGACTGATTGACTAAATGGATACTCGTCCCAAATCATTTGGGACAGGGTTTGCACTTGTTGGTCCGCGTCCACTTTCCAACATCTCATCGCATGGTAAACAAGCCCATGCGATGCGCGAACAAGGCCGCTGAGAGCGCGTCTGCACGTCTCTGTGCGGACGCCGAAGCAGAAACAACAGCAACTGATGTCCCATCGGTTGCTGAAGCGACCCAGCCTGTGTCACTTGGTGACGCAGGCGCTGGTCAAGAAGACACTCGTGTCTTCACAGAGTACGAGCTCGGTGTCTCATACTCTCCTGATACGGAGGACGGATCCGTATCGACGGCGATTGAATCTAAGCCGCCTGCCAAGCGTGGCATGGACGACGCTTTGCGTCGCAACATCTTTGGTTCATCTGATGAATCAGATGAACCATCGCCGAAGCGAAGGCGCTCGAGGTCGCGAGACTCGGGCGCTAATAGTGGTGTCGGTTCTCCTATGGACACCACTTCACAGCGAGGTGCCAGTACTTCTGTCGGCATGTCGCAGGAAGAGCGGGACCGCAATGTCTTGCGTCTCGCTCCTGAAAAGAAGGCATGGATGCCTCCAAAATCCGTCATGGATCACTTGTCGGTGACGACGAGTGATCGTTATCGAACACGATTGTTCGATTCGTCAAGGATCCATCACCTTGACCCCAGCGCGAAAAACTATCGCGCTGAACATGAATTCTTCATCGATTTTTTCTTTAGACATCGATGGTACAGTGGGAATCACAAACGTGATGGTCCCTCACTACTTCAGGCGTGGAACGCCTACATACATAACCTCGAGGATGTAGGTCGTGACGCTTGGAACGACAAACTTATCAAAGCTCGTGATAAGTTTGAAAAGCGAACCCCGACAGGTGCACGCTACAAGCTGCATCGTCTGTCAATGGAGAAAGGATTACCCTGCCTCTCTTGGGGAGACTCGTGCCCGTGTTGTGTGAACAACTCTGCACGAGCACCTAAGGAGGCTTACCTCCCTAATAGCCCGTGGTGGCGCGTACGTGTCTCTACTGAGATGTACGAAGGGATTGACAACCTGAAATCCCTTTACGACCGTGCCGGGAAGACTTTCTCCGGCGGTCCTTCTGCGGCACAGGATGTGCCGCGTCGTACTGCTCAACCAGACCTAGTACGTCGATCATCAGTTGGGAGCGGGGCTCCCAAGCATCCCAGGACGGGGGGATAGCCGCGCCACCGGACGAGATAACTCGTCCGACGTCCGTTCACGTCGCGGTGGTTCAACAGCTGCTCAACTAGATAGCGCTGGCCACCGCGAGAGTCCTCCAATGGAGGTGGAGGAGGAGGAAAGACGCTCTCCATACGATCATGTGGATCGGTGTGTTCCTGAGAGCTTCTTTGATCGCGTAACGCAAGGGTTACGCGACGATCTCGAGCATGAGCGGAATAGGCGTCTCCAAATTGCGGACACTGCCTCGAAGCATCGAGCTGAGTTTGCCTTTGCTCAGCTTGAGACCGAGAGATCTCTGACATCTCTTCGTGACGAGCTAAGGGTAGCTCGTGGGATTGCTGATCGGTCTCGGGATGAGATAGCTGCTCTTCAGACCCTTGTTGATGCCCACCATCGGGAGCACAAGGCTCTCTGCGAGATGCTTGAGCGCAAGGGCGTTCTTCATCGGAAGAAGCAGCGTACTGATGGTACGGCTTAGCCGACCAACGTAAAACGTGGGATGCTTCGCATCTTACGTGGTAACTCGATCGTGTATGCATTGCCTAGGCGGTGCAATACACGAAATGGGCCAATGTACTTGGGTAGTAGTTTACTGCTACCCAAGTTAGTCACTACATGCTTTGGTAGGTTAACCGTAGACAGTAGGACTAAGTCACCTTTATTAAATAAAAGAGTGTTTGCCCTTCCATTTTTGTCAGCGTTTTGCTTTTGCGTATCCACCGCTTCGGCGATGGAGTCTTGCACAAAACGGACTACCGTTTCACGAGCCAGTATGAACTCATCTGATGACTCGTTAGCTTCAGTGTGCTGTGAGCGCACTGCAGCAACAACAACCTTTTCTTCAGTGAGGGCTTCCGCACTCTCACTGGCATCATCTTCTTCGATATCGATGTTATCGATATCGGCATCAAACGCAATGACTTCTTCGTCAGAGCATGATGAGCGTGAACCAAAGTGTTTTTTGCTCGCGCGAGTCTCTCCCCCCTTAAACCAGAGTTACACTCTAGTAAGGTGGGTACACGCGGATGGCGCAAGCCATTCACGTAAAACGGTGTATGTGTCGTGGACGCATGCACCGAGTTGTTGATGGCAAACTCCACCATTGGCAAAAACTCACTCCAACTCTTAAAGGAGTGTACGTATCCTCGAAGTACCTCTTCAAGGACACGATTGGCACGTTCCGTCTGACCATCTGACTCAGGATGATCAGATGTTGACAGCTTTAAGCGCGTTCCGAGTGATTTGAACACGGAACGCCAGAAATCAGCAGTGTAGCGTGGATCTCTGTCTGATACGAGTTCACGGGGCAACCCATGAAGTCGGAAAATGGTGTCAATAAAAACGCAAGCACAGCCACTTGCCGTGATTGTCTCTGGTACAGCCACAAGGTGTACCATTTTGCTGAATCTGTCAACAAATACGAGAATACCCGTATTCCCGCGTGCGTCTTTGGGTAACCCGAAGACGAAATCCATTGATATGGATTCCCAGCACTCAGCCGGAACCGGTAGAGGCTGTAAAGGTGCATGCAGTGAAGGAATTGACTTCACTCGTTGACAGACTTCGCATGCGCGAACATACTTTCGCACAAACTGATACTGGCGGGGCCAGTAAAAGTCTCGACTTACCGTGAGATTTGTTTTCTCTCGGCCACGATGTCCTCCTATAGGAGCATCGTGATACTCGAACATGATCCGCAAACGCAGATCAGTATCATCTGGAATGAAAACACGTGGTGTGTCACCAGAAACGGCTGTATAATACAGTAAACCGTTACGAGTAGTGTATCGATCTGATGCAGATCGATACGAAGACGACAATCGTTTCAACGATTCTCAAGATGGTTGGGAGAGATGTGTCAACAACTTCACTATCTCACCATCTTGGGCGTATGCCTGCCTCACATCATCATTCAACGTTGTAGATGGGACTGAGGACGTCATAACCGCAACAGTGACTGTCTCACTGTTGGGTTTCGCGACTGGTTCAAAGTCGGGATGACGTGAGAGTGCATCAGCGACGACATTAAGTCGTCCTGGTTTGTACTCGACCGTAAAGTTGTATTCTGCAAAGAATGACAACCACCGCGCCATTCGTTGTGAAAGGTGCGGGCTGTTCACTGCCGTGCGTAATGACGCATGGTCAGTGTAAACAACGAAGGGTCTATCTCCTAATAGATAGACTCTGAACTTCGCGAGTGCATACTTCATGGCAAGGAGTTCCTTGTCATGCACTGGATAGTTCCGCTCAGCTGGTTGCAGCTGACGCGACTGATAGCAGACGACGCGTTCAACGTCTTCAAGATCGTACTGCATTAATGCACAGCCGATTGCGAAATCGCTGGCATCACAGACCACATGAAATGGCCTGTCCTGATCGGCTATTGCTAGGACTGGGGATTGTATCAAGCTCTGCTTGATACCCTCAAAGGAGCGTTGACATTCAGCGTTCCATAACCACCTCTCGTTCTTTTTCAACAAACGAGAGAGGTGCACAGTCATCTCGGCGTAATTGCGTGAATACTTATGCAAATACGCCGCTAGCCCAAGGAATTTTCGAAGACCTTTGACATCAACCGGCACAGGCCAGTCGGTGATCGCCTTGATCTTTTCGGGATCAGGACGTACACCGTTCTTACCAACGATGCACCCAAGAAGTGGTATTTCGCTTGCTGCAAATATACACTTCTTGAGATTTGCATACAATTGATGCTTTCGCATGATTGTAAGAACCTTTCGGACGTGGTACCTGTGAACCTCAACGTCCGACTTTCCATTCGTAGCTCGACTATGGATGAATACGTCATCGAAATAACTCGGTGCAAATTCTCGTACTGGTCTCAACAGATGTGATACACATCTGTTGAACGTGGCAGGGGCATTACTAAGCCCTTGTGGCATTACTAGCCATTCCCAGAGCATGCCGCTAGGCGTGCTCACTGCGGTATAGAGTGTGTCCCGTTCTCGCATAAGGATTTGATAGAAGCCATCCATCAAATCCACAGACGAAAAGATGGCACTCTTTGACATACCATCAGTGATTACGTCCTTCCTTGGTATCGGCGTCTGAGCCGGCATTCAACTTGTTAAATGCATGCACTATCCGCCACCCTCCTGTTGCTTTTCGCACACAGAAGGTCGGAGAGCTATGTGGGGAAGTTGATTCCCTCACATGGCCCGCAGCTAAACGATCGTCAAAGAACTTGTCGATCGAAAGCACTTGTTCACGAGGCAGTGGCCACTGCTTCATGACACAGTACTTCGAGCCTGGTTTAAGCTCGACCTCATGTCGAATACCTTTATCCTTCGGTAATTCGCACGGAACAGTTTCAGGGAATACATCCTTGAATTCAACCAAATCTTCATAGAGAGGATTTTTCTTGAGCGATTCCCATGATTGAGAGTCATATCGCTCAACTCGTGTCTTTTCATCTAGGACACTCTCGTCCATAGATGAATTACTGAGAACCCTCTCGTTCTCAGTAAACATTGTTGCTGACCTTATGTCGGTTACACACTCGTCGTCAGCGACGAGTACGCAGATCTGCTTGACTTTGCCACTACGCAGATCACGCAAGAACCTTTTATGTTCGAGCGTTGGCAACTGAGTGATCTCCGAAGTCAACTCCGGAGGCGCAATCAGATCAAGTGTATAAGCGCCTACACTTGATCCGTTATTGACTATGACATTCAATGTCTCTGTCATTTCCTGGGGACTTATTCCCTCAGGCTTCGAAGGACTTATTCCTTCGTCTTCCCGGGGACTTATTCCCGCGGGTTTCGGGGAACTTATTTCCGCCGTATTTGAAATCTTGGGACTTATTCCCTTAGCTTCCTCTAGCTGGGGTTGCGCAACCACAGCGAGATCCTCTACGAAAGACTCTCCAGTCGATCTAGGATTATCGTTTCGCTTAACCTGAGCGATCGATTGTTTCTCTTCTAGATGTTCCCCGCTAGGGATACATCTTTGTCCCAGTCCACCCGACTTATTCGTGTGGTGGACCTTCGGCGCAGCCTGTGTTTCCTCACAGCCGCCGGAACTTTGCTCCGAAGTGTAACCGTTTGGTACACTAAGGTTTTGTGCAGTCGTACTAACTACCGTACCACAAGTGAGGCCATCGCACTCACTCGTAGTACATCCACACGCTTGTGGACGCTCCAAAACGTTCATCAGATGGCCATCTGATGAACAAGCGGCAGGCATCGTTACTGTCCGATGTTGCCAGTTTACCCGTGGTTCGTACCTTCTGAGCCACGGTATTCCAACGATGACATCAAATTTGTCATCCAAATCCAATACGATAAAGTCATCGTCATATTGGGTATCGTCTAGCGTATAGTGGATCTTCACTGTACGCTTCATGACGGTTACGGATGCTCCTGTCGCAAGACGTACCGTCATCCTCGTAGGAGGTGTGTCACATTCACTGAACTTGAAGTGACCATCTTCTAGCGATTGGCGTCGCACAAAATTGTTGGACGCCCCACAATCGACTAGAGCTCGAAGGGACAACTTGTTCGTCACTTTGAGTTTCAAGGTAATGAGTGAGACCTCATTACCTAGAGCAGCAACGCACAAAGTTTTTGTGTTGGGAGCAGCCTTCATCAAGAGGCCTACAAATTCTCTTGACGTTGCTAGACCAGTAAGGTGCTCCGCACCTACTGATCCTGTCCGTTTTTTGACGGTCCATCCCGTTGTTGCGTCTTTGCACCAACTGCGGACTATCGTCCCTGCCCCTTTCTCATGGGTGGACGGTAACTACGCCCAGTGTCGCGAGACACTGGACGAGGGGCACTACACTCGTAAGCGTAGTGTCCTGTCTTCTGACATCTGTTGCATTTCTGCAACTTCTTGTAGTCTGTAGAGCGAGCCTTCTCGCTCTCTACATAACAGAGTTCCATCGGCTCTGGACCTCCGTTGTCATATCGTCTCGGTTGACGATATGATGTCGAGCTGGCGCGAGCCTGTCTCAGACTGAAGTCCTCCTGCTCCGCAATGGAAATGGCTTGTTCTAGTGAATCTAGTTCAAGCCGGAACAGGTGAGTCCTGACGGGACCATCCGCAAGACCCTGCGTGAACACCGAAACCAACGTGTGTTCATCCACCGGATTAAAATTTATACGACTCGTGAGATGTCGTATATGTTGGGCGTAAGCGTGCACATCACGCTTACCCTGCTTGAGCTTCAAGAGTTCGGTTCGAGCTCTGAACTCAGCTCTAGGCGGTTCAAACGTTTGTCTGAGCCGCGACTTGAAGACTTCCAACGACCCAAACGCATATGGGTCGTGCAACTTGAGCCCCAGTGCCCAAGTCTTGGCACGTCCTGCCAGATTTGACTGGGCAAATGCAACTTGCATTTCCCCGTCGTCGATGCGACGCGCCCTTATGGCGTCATCCAATTCGACGAACCATCTCAAGAGGGAGTCTTCTTCGACCCCCCTATACTTTGAGATGTCAATCTTCAAAGTCTCGGGTCGACGCGAGTGCATCGACCCGCCAGCAGCAGCCTGCTGCTGTCTCAACAGTTCAAACTGTTGAGCACCCTGTTCTCTCAACAACTCTGCTTGTTGAGAACCTTGTTGGTGAAGCAAGGCTACTTTCTCGCGTTCAGCGTCAAGTTCATTTTGAATGAACTTGGCGATAGTAGCATGTTGGGCATCTCTATTGAGAGCCTCTAGCATGACGCTAACAGCATGGATGCCCATGGTCGAACCCATCCGTTCAACCGCATCTCATTCGACATCGCTCAAATGGGAGTAGCCGTCACGCGTAGCGTGAAAGCTTTGGTCATCTTCATCAACCAACATATTCATGTTAGATGTGAACGTGGTCCTTGGACGGACTACGAAGTGCTACCAGGTGTAACGGGGCACCCTGAAGCTTGTCCTGGTGACATTACAAGCTACTTATTATGATGACAGAATAAGGCGGTGCCTCGTAACTTCACGTACACTCGTACGTGCAGAGGAAGACGGTAAGAAGAAGCGAGTACTTGGTTAAAGTAAAAAATAGAACTGTATTTATAATAGTTAACGTCTGCAATAAATCACTATTTATCTTCATCTAACTATGTCTAAATACAAATGTGTAAATCAGTTATCTGCTCACCACTCATTGCGTGCGTCTGTCGTGGCGCGTCTTCGTTGGTTGATATAATGGCCTATATCAACCAATTAGGAACTACTCGTAAGTGCTACAGAATATTTGTCCTTATGACAATATTATGAGAACATAACACTTATAGTTATATTCTATTAACAATTTCTTATAAACTGTTATGTAACGACTCACCCCGTTACAGGTTCCGCCTATTGGGTCACTGGATCGTCGCTCGACGAGGCTCAAGAAGTAACTGTTCATTGTAGTACCCGCTCAAACAAAAGTCAAAATGACTAAGTCTATCGGGATATCGGCTCTTAGGTCGACGAGTCTTAACGCGGTGTCGTCTATTGGTTAATTGGATTGTTGTGCGAAAAGACTGATCTTTCGTTGGAATCGGATGCATTCACCCGGTCCTACATATCTTTTTTGGCTCTGTTAGTCAAAACCTCTGTAATCTATGCCACTCGAGGTTCTACGGCAGGCATACTCCAGCACACGCAGGGACTTTTTTAAAATGTGCACACGTGTCATACATCTTGGAGAATTCCTCTCTGTAATAAGATATTCGTTCTTCTGCTACACAGAGACTATTGTGTGGCTCACTTTCATACCCAAATTTCTCCCAAACAATCCGCTAGTGTATTAGACAGTAAAAACTTCTTACTGCTTCGCCGAGATTGAAATCGACATTTCATTTATCGACAAGTCTTGACTTGCCGAATTACGAACATCATATTTTGCCAATATGAGGGAATCCAAATGAGAAAATTCTACACCACACTTCAATATTTCTTGACTCTCCGGCTGGGATCGCTACATTTCGATCTACTACTGTTATAATTTGCACCATTGCGTTCTATTCAGGACTTCATCCGGAGAGAAGGATGTGAACTTCATCTGATCGACACAGTGTGCCGTCCTTCAGATCGAGACGTATTCCGGCGGGTACTATGGGAAAAACCACTATTGCTTCTTGTCCAGAATGATCTCCCACCGAAACGTTGGAACAGTACACTAGATATCCCGCGAGAGTGACCTTAATCAAAATGCGTCCAATCGTTTCGCCAATATCTACACATTCCTGTCGTTGAATTTCGTCGACTGCACAGCCAAGCTTGCTAGAAAAGACGATGTCAATGATAGAGACTTCAGCAACAGAATCGAATAGCGTAGTCGCTTTTCGTTGCTAATTTTGCTAACCGCATTCGCCTGCTTAGATCACTTCCCGGAAGCGTACTATTTTTAATATCCGCAAAATTATCCCACGAGCGAGTTTGATATCCATCGTTGGGTCCGATCGCGAATATTTGTCGACCTTTCTCAATCCAGAGACTTTTACGAATTGGTGTAGTTTTTTGTAAGTTAAAATCGACTTGATATCAATTTTCTGCTTACTCTCACGATCTGTCCGTTTTTTGTAAATGCGAAAATACAAAGTTTAGACGCTCGGGTCGAACTAGATTCCAACTTGGGAAGCGCAATGGTTCAACATCTTCTCGGCCTTTTCTAGAAACATCCTTGCATGATAGTGGGGACATACCACAGGCGGACCACAGGCGGGTCATGTTATAAAAATCGTCCATCGGGCATTTCCCCAGGGCATGTATGCCACAAGCCCGGCACACGGATAAATGAATTTTCGAAAGAGATGCCCCGTACAACCACACTTTTGTCATGTGAGCCGCTTTCAACCACCCATATCGCCATGTACAATCTATCCTCAATGGAAAAAGGCTTTGTGTGTGCGCGAGTCCCTGAAATTCTTAGCTTTTGAACTGGGTTCGTCGACTTCAGGCGTACCGAAGCGTCATTTGTTTGATGTTGTTGATCTCAAGCTGTGAGTACATGGGTCGATCTCAGGTGATCCTCCTTTTGCGTTTTACTGAAATCAGATTCCGAGCCTTTGCTGGTATCCTCTGCTCAGATTGCGCTCACTGTTTGCGCGGGTTTTACTGGCGCCGATACAGATGCTGTCAAAACTTGGACGGTCCCACCAATGTCTATCCGCAGAGCAATCTGCCACTCTGATATGCAAGCGGCGTTATTTTTATCGTTGCCGCTTCATCCACAAGCAGGAAGCAATAGTTGGAGATTGAGATTGGTTCTTCCAGAGTATTGATAAAACAATCGATGCGTTCCTTGCGCTCAGCTGTCAACCCAGTATTCACTGGTGTTGTTGCTCGCATTCCAACCACATTGAGACTTTTATGAATTAATTCGAGATGCGTTTCGTCACGTCGTTTCTTCGCGTGGTAGTACTGTCGGTCTCCCTATACTCTAAGTCCAGCAAAATCTGCCAAAAACTCTCCATTAGATCTTTCCACTTAAAACTTGTTGAACGGCTACAGTGGCGATGCCAGAAGCGAGCCGGGCCCACCACCACACCGCCAATATATCAGCAAGTCTCCTCATCTGGAATTTGATCTTGTAGGAACGCCAACAGTAACTTAGCCGATCCAGATCTGAACTCGATCTCCATATGTCCTTGCCTAAGAATTAATTCACCTCCAAGATCACCTATACTCTGTTTCTTTGCGTGGTGACGCTGTAACTCATGTCGCCGAACGCGAATTATTGTGCGATTCTTTATTCCAGTATCCAGGATACGTATGGGTCATATTTTGCCTTCTGCAGGAGTGGAACTGATCCCGCAAATTAAATGTCTACATCTGGCATTTTGCAACATTCGGGGTGAGATTGGTAGGGTTCGCTCCAATCCACACGTCGATTCCATTTCCGCTTTGCCTATTATTCCGTCAAATAAATTTACCATTGCGGTGTTAACCTACTTTATCAAGTTGCCATACCCTGTCTCGCTCGATCTGGCCACCGCAAACTCGTGCGTTGTGTGAATACCAGTCTCGGGTTGCTCGTATGACGGCTCTATATTGACTCCGACATCCCAACCCTTCAGAAAAACCTCCTCTTGATGATCCTAGAAACATCCGGCAAATACGGATTGACCCAGCCGATACAATGATAGAATCTGTTCGCGCAAGTTGTGACGATACTAAGTGATTACCGTAAGGAAATTCATACGGTGGCCCAATCTCACCTCGGGCGTGGCTATCTTTTCTACCAGAAAAATCGTACTCTTGGTA